ATTTGTAAACAGTAATAAGTCTACTGCGGTCGAATGACTTGTTTACAAATTACAACTTATTTCACTTCACATTGCGGACACAGTCAGTTCGCATTACGAGTAATTATTCTGTGAGAGAATATTGCGACATGTATTGGGTGTTAACCCAATGTAACGATAGTCAAACACAAGCAGTGCAACAATATGGAATTAGGTATCCTAATTGGCGATACCCTGATAATAATGTTACGTACTCTATAATATTTACTGTTTCAGAATAATCATTATCATAGAAAATGTATGTAATTGTTGCAGATTAGCATGTCCAGATCCAAGCTCGGTCATGCGTAGATCAAAATCGGTCCTTTTCAGGACCACTCAAAACGTAATACGTTGCTACAACTATCTTGTGACATTAAAGGAATAGACATTATAAGGAATAAAGGGTACCTTCTGAAATTCACTGACGTTACAGCGAGCGATTGTATCTCACTCAATTACATGCAGATAAACAGGGACACTACGACGATACTCTTAGTGTTATTGGCCTAGTGTAAGCAGGTCTTGCAGGCTGACTCGCGACGTCATCTACGCTCCGTTTAAACGCGCTCTGATTGGTCGCATTACTGCAACTTCAACCTTGATTATCTCGAAATTTTGATATATGAAATAAAAAATAAAAATATACGTATTCATTAGAATTTGACAAGGAATGCAACGATGTTACTACAGTGCGTTCCATAACGAACACCCTGTATATATAGATATAGAAAAAGCGTCCCTTGACTCGCATTTTAGAGCCATACTGCACGCATATATGTATACTCGTATACGTGAGCCCCGTTAACGCTCGTTGATTCGCTGACGCGGTTCAAGTGCCCAACTCATACATAGCAGAGTATGTCCGTACGTAATGTTTGGAGTAAATAACGTCCAGCGTTTGGCCAGGGCCGACTTCGTCATACGAAGAGCCCGACACAACGTTCAACTGAACGTTAGGATGTAAGGAGGCGTATTAGGATATAAGGTATATGTATATTAGAAAAAGAGTAGACGCGCAGCGCCATCACACGTGGACGAGTAGAACTAGAGTAGTCCGCAGTACTGACAAAGAAAAGTGGAGATGTGCGCAGTACTGAGTAAGAGAGTTTAGAGGAAAGAGCTGTCGGGGAGTAAGTAAGAAAAAGGATACAGTCATTAATAATTATAAAGTTATATTGATAATAAATGAATCATTATTTTCGATGTTGATACCCACAAGAACAATTAACTTAATTAACAGAAAGTTACATTAATTATTATTTATTATAAGTTTAGATGTATTGTTGAAATATAAACAATATCTCTCGTGTACCGATTGTTTTGTTAACATCTACAATGTTCTGTTCAGTTACGAAATGTCGATTACGTAGTGTCGAAGGTACAATTGGTGGTGACAGTAGAACTGGTTTCTTTTTCCCTAAAAGTCATATTTTTATATCAAATCTGATTGAACAATAAAAAATATTCTTCCATCAACCTTTCTGTTGACTATGCGTTACATAGTCCTGCGGATCGTCCTCGGATTCTGAAGTAGATTGTATATTAGGGATAATCTGTCTCCGCCCTCTTCCAAGCTGTTTTGCATCTGATGAACTGCAACTTATACATATGTAATGCACATACTCGTATTTTTGTAACGTATATACACCTATAATTCGAATGCAATTTTACAAATATAAGAATGACTTGAGCCAGCTGTTGCCATCTGTCAATCATTATCGAGCTGCTACGCGAAGCGGGCCGCTCAGAGTCGGCATTTAGAAAAAATGAATGCGCTACTGCCAACGTATCTGAATAATTACAAGTGATTGAAATTTGCATATTTAGGTATATGTATAGTCGAATGCAAACAATATCCAAATATTTAATAATCTAAATCATCAACATGCAGCCTTGTGACTTTTTTTTTAAGTTTTCGTGTTCGAGTCTCTGCTCGTATACTTTTTTTTTCATGAATTTTTTGCATTTTATTTCTAAATTTGTTTAATATTATTATTATAATCACGCAAATATGTATTGTCATTACAACTTTATTATTTTTGCTATTAATTATGATACTAGCATAATCGTAAGAGTTATAACGAAAGTAATACAATTTTTAAAACTTGTTCGTAATAACTCCTGCTGTAAAATGTTTCTATGGGGTATAATATATAAAATATTGTGTATCGGAGAATAATGAAGTCAAGAAAACTAGGAATAGGAATAGTATTTGTATTTACATATTTTCGTAACCTGATTTTTATTATTTACAAGAAGTGAAAATAATAAACTTGTAATGACAACACACACTTGCATGATTATTATAATAATATTAAACAAATTCAGAAATAAAATTCATGAAAAAAACGTACCCGAGAGAGAGGTACGGTACAACAGAGATTCGAACACTCAACTCTTGGCCACCGCTTCGCCCACCAAAACACTTGTCACTGTAGTACTCCTTGTGACGTTGCAAAATTTGGCGTCACAAGTCCCAGGGTTAGCTCTCACGTTTTAAGGCGTGCCGCATTACCGCCACGTACTCGGAACACCATCACGGCAACACACTCCATGGGTCCTAAGATAATTTCGTGTATTTTGTATAAACTACCTCTTTTTGTATCTTAACTCCCTTTGTAACGCGGCATCACGGACGGGTCGAAGAGCCGATACCAAACAAGCACCAAAGGAAGGACACCCCGAACCGACATCAGGGGGAACCATGGACCAGTATCCGCCAACATCAGGGGATCTCCGACCCCCCACCGACAAGAAGAAGAGGGCCCGTTATCGTGTCGCTTGCCGATTGGAGGAAGAAGAGGCACCAGAGCAGCCGGCCCAGCCGTACCTAGCTAATGGTACGTGCCAAAGGCCATACGCGCTCTATTCCCGAAGTGCGCCTCTCGGACCTCGGATAGACGGTGGCTGACGGAAGAAGGTTTACAACACCCTCCTAAGGACGCAGGAACAACAGCGATAGCCGCCGAAAGAATCGAGGGACCAGCCATCCCGAAACTACTGCGACTAGGGGAGGATGCACCTCCACCCCTCTAAAAGCCAAGGCATCGAGGAGGATGATCCCGTGAACCCTGCCGACGGTACAGCCAGGAGGCTTCCGTAATCCTAAGGTCCGGGGGAGAAGAGTTACCCTTGAGAACCGGCCTCGTAGATGGGGAAACGTGCACTTTGAGGGAGTAACTACATCCGTATCAACAGGCAAAGCCGAAGAACCTCGACGGGGGAACAGTCGCTTTAGTCTATTAGAATAATAATGGTGAATCATTAATGTTCTGCTATCGTAAAAATTCAATTACCGTCCTATCGAATTATGAAGGGCCTCAGTACTAAGTTTGAATTATGGCGCGAGCGAATATGTTCGGGAGATGGCCCGACGCGCTAGATTAGAGGTGGGGGAAAAACTTCACCACCGAGCGAACGCCTAGCCGATAGATCGCTCTCTCGCTGGCTGTCCGTGGTGGTGTCAAGACGTTTGGTTATCGTTTATTACCGGTGAGTTCCGAAGTTCGATTACCGTGGAATTTTCCTAGGGCACTATTGTCCCTTGCTAAAGTTCTCGAATCCTACCGATTCGAGACTAGTTGGTACGCGGGAAAATTCCGTGGTTATCGTATTTTCTTTATATTGTAGACAAGTATTGTGTAATTTTAATTGTGCGTACAAAGCCGTGATTTTCTGGACCCTGGAGTGTGGCCACGAGGCCAACGTGCCGTTATCGCTTCTCGGTTAAATAAGTAAAATTGTCGGCTGGTACTTTATAATAGTGTTACGATCGCTCTCTAAATTCGCGGAATATGGTTAAGTTCTTACGTTCAATATTCAACAGATTTCGTGAATTCTGATTTAGAAAAGGTAGTTAGGATGGTTCGTTGGTCAGATTTGCCGGTGCTAAACGGTACGTCCACGCGTTATGTCAATTGCTCCAGCAGATAAAATTCAGGAGGAATAGGAAATAGGTTCCAGAGGATACCTTGATCGATACGAGGAGAATAGTTCCTTAAAAGGTAGTTAGGATGGTTCGTTGGTCAGATTTGCCGGTGCTAAACGGTACGTCCACGCGTTATGTCAATTGTTTCAGCAGATAAGATTCGGTAGAAATAGGAAATAGGTTCCAGAGGGTACCTTGATCGATACGAGGAGGATTGTTCTTTGTGTCTGATATGTTGTCCTGATTAATGAAACTAGAACGAATTTTAACTGAACGAATTGATTGATTCTTTGCTCGGGTATTCTTTATCCGTTTTATGTAAGTTAGATATTCTGGGTATGAATAAATTATTGTGTGTACCTGATTATATGTGAGTGTACTCACAGGCTTACCCAATGATTTCCAGGGAATTCAACTATTTCCTTTTATTGCTTTCCTTGGAAGTATGAAGATTCAATGAGGTGGTTTGGATGGACCCTCAGTCCAGATGAGATTGTAATCAGGGTTTTGTAAATGATAATGATGATGATGGTTCACAAAACTTGCAGATTAGAGTCACCAGGTATGCTTCACTTTTGGATAACTTCGAAGAACTGAATTGAAGAGAATAAAAGTTCCTAGAACTCTAGACTTCAACTCTAACTTTGACTTTTACTTTGCACTTCTTTTACAAAACTTCTTGATGTACTTCACAACGCCACACTTCTACCACAGAACACCTTTTTAGCCTCTCCAACCCTTGTTAAAGACTTCGTTTATTATCCCTTCCATTACTTCTCATGAATTTGATTGGTCTTTAATTCCCTTTCTCAATGATCATTTAACAAATCAGAGTACTAACAATTATCTATCTGTTGTTGCATACCTGAGTCTTCCAATTCTGTACCTGAAACCTCGCGAGTACTGCTAGTCTCGAGGAGCTTCAGGTTTATCTTTTATTTCAAGACATAATAAGGATTGGTATGACAAATTCCTTAAGAACATAATACCTGATAGAAATGATAAGCGTAACATTTTTCCGGTCAAATAGATGATAACATAATTAAAGATTCCAATAATATAACGGAATATAAAACAAGACAAAAGTATAAACTTATAAGTATAAATCAATAATAGTACATTATGCAACAAGGGAGTAAAGTCGTTACTCTCGTGTTACATATAGTGCTTTATTCACGACTGAGCTATAATAGCCACTTTATTCCCTGAAAAGTGGAACCAAATCAGCCACCGTCATTATGATGGAAATATAAGTTTTTTCAAATATTCAAAAAATTCAAAATTTTTATATTTTTCACCTTTTCAAAACTTTCAAAAATTTTCAAAATTAAAAAAAAATTCAAACTTTTGCGGGAATAAAGTTCATTATTCCCGAAAAATGCGGGAATAAAGTAAATTTGCGGGAAAACCAAATATGCGGGAACAAAGTGCTACTTTAGTCCTGCTTTTCAGGGAATAAAGTGGCTGTTATAGCTCAGTCGTGAATAAAATTAGTTATATCAAACGATTGATCGACATATGTAGTGTGCATAATGTCTGTATAGGTTGGGGTAAAATAATAATATGGGTTGGCCATGGGTATAAGTGGCTGTGTATATGTATGGGTTAACGAGTGTCGAATATAGGAGGGCTGAGACGTAACAATAGTTTTTTCCTTAGGTGTTGACCTTACGCAGCCCAGGTAAAGAAATGAGAAAGACGACTATGCGTATTTCTGTTACAACGTTTCGACCCTTGTTGGGGTCATCTTCAGGTAAGTTTTATTAATCTGTTTTACGTAAAAGTATAAATGACAGTTATGTTGAGAAATTTCAATGTATATTATGAGTAATTAAATTAAACTATATGTCTATAATACAAATTATACTTACAGATAAAAAATGTGAATCATATTTAGTAGTCAATAGTCAGATTGCGTAAAATGCGAAAGTCATATGTGACTCCTGAGAGATACCTTCCACCAGAGAGAACAGCACAATGAAAAAGCAGCCCATAATTGGTTTATTAAAGAAATAGCCCATGGAAGAACTACCATCGAAGAAAAACGAGTTAAGGAACCATGTTTAATTATTTATAAATTATTATTTGTAAGATTGAAATTATTAAAAATAAAAAGCAGAATTGAAATTCTTTACTTACGGAAAATGGAATGGACAAAAGAAGAAAGAAGATTTGAGCGAGAAACAGTAACGAAATCAGTCCTCCGTAACGAAAAGCCAAACGTGTGAAATTTAATTAAGTGACAATAGGCTTATGGTCGTTAGGAGAGTGTAAAGTTAACTAATGTCACTTAATGTAAACAAAGGTAGAAGTTAAAGTATTTAAACTAAAAAATATGTAATATTGTAAAATTTATAAGCGATACTGTCTATATGTAAAATAGAAGTTGTGTCTTTTATTTATTAAGTATATTATGATATACATATTGTAACGTATACATCCGAGGATATTCGTATCGCGGTAATGATAAGATCCCGCTAACCCGAATAACCCTAAATATCAAGTAATAACAATTCGTAGGCATCGCGACGCTCAATTCTTCCGCACCTCTCAGGCCCCCTGGCCTACCGTTGACGGGTATATAAACGGTGACGTTTCGCGACTCGAGCATTCTATCACCTGAGCTAGCTAGGTTACCTTTAGTATAGTAAACGAGCAAACCGTCTCGGGCAAGGGGGCAAACCGTCCCACTTGACCATCATATCTAGAGGTACTTCTACTCTTGTAATCGAGCAAACCGTCTCGGGTAGTGAGCAAACCGTCTCTTCTGCCAGATAGAATCAATCTCTGCATATCAGTTGGGCCGTCACTTTGATACACTTGATCATTGTGCCGTTTCCGCTACACATTCCATCCTAACTTTATTTAAAGACTTGCACAACTAGCTACTTTGCGACTGAGACTTCTCACCTCGCCAAGATAGCAACGTTGTTTTAGATAGGACCACGTCTACCTGTGATCACGAGTTCCCTAGTGGACGACTGCTGAACAGCACGACGCTTATATTCTACCGAGTCGACTCTGTAATCAAATTCCGCTGGTCGGAGGCTGCTTTCAGACACGATTCCGTATTTCATTTATAGAAAAACAACCAAATTCAAAATAGAATCACACGAGAGTAGACGCACCTATTATTTCCGTTCCCGTCACGCATATCGTGTAGGGAAACCGCGTCTTACAACCATATTTATACAATTACTTTCCGAACACTAATCATTTGTATATCTCATTTATAATCATTCTTACTTTCCGCTTGCGTATATATCTATTCTTCGCTTACTAACATCCAGCATTCTCAAGGCTGGACCTGCACTAACACTGATTGTATTCCGTTGTAGGATAATATATTTTTCTTTTATAATTTGTAAAACAAAATCTCACTTTCATTTGACGATTCCGTATGTCATTTATAGAAAAACAACCAAATTCAAGATAGAATCACACGAGAGTAGACGCACCTATTATTTCCGTTCCCGTCACGCATATCGTGTAGGGAAACCGCGTCTTACAACCATATTTATACAATTACTTTCCGAACACTAATCATTTGTATATCTCATTTATAATCATTCTTACTTTCCGCTTGCGTATATATCTATTCTTCGCTTACTAACATCCAGCATTCTCAAGGCTGGACCTGCACTAACACTGATTGTATTCCGTTGTAGGATAATATATTTTTCTTTTATAATTTGTAAAACAAAATCTCACTTTCATTTGTTCCACCTGATATTTTTCCTAAATTCCTAACAGTCGATTCTGGCTCGAACTCGCCTTTTTGGCACGATCCGGAGAACCATATCGTGCGTATAAGGTTACAATATATGGCTTAAATTTTCAATGTCTCTCATATAATTAACTGTATTCTTTTCTGTAGAAATTTTTTTCTGTGACAAATTCCTCTGTTCTTCAACAGTATCGGTGAATGGCGTTATCTTCTTCCCTTGCTGATGATCCTTCGCTACGCCCGTGATTAGCGTCATGGGTTCTGTTCATAAGGATCTCTTCTACCTTTGATGATTCTTCTACTGGTTTCTCGGCCTCGTGATCCACTCCAACGGGTTCATGATGATCAGGCCGCAGCAACTTCTCATGAACCTTAATGGCTTGACCCCTTTTTGCAATGGTAAAGGTACCTCCACTGAGGTGCGTCAGAATTTGGTATGGTCCACTTTGTCGCGGTGCGAATCCGGCGTTGAATCCCTCGGCTGCATTCGACAGTGGATGCTCCCGTAGGTAAACCCAGTCACCTGGTTGATAAGTGGGTGGTTTGATTTCGCCTTTATAACGCTTTTGGTAACGTTGTTGCTGAACTTGGGCCTCTTGCTGGTATGGTTGTCGATCTTCTTCCTTGTGATCATGCGTGTTTCTCAGCCGCCAATCTCCGGGTCGTTGGAGATTTTTCCCTAGGAGTACTTCAGCAGGAGTACGTCCCGTTGCGGCGTTTTGACGTCTTCGAAGGTTAAATAGTATCTCTGGGATATACCTATCCCAGGTACGGTGACGACTCTGCTCGAGTCGTAGACGCAACCCCTTTTTGATTTCTTGGTTGCGTCTTTCGGTTGGATTGGCCTGAGGGTGATAAATTGGGGTTGTCCACAATTGTATTTCCCATTTTTGTGCGGCTTCTTTCCAAATTTGACTAGTGAATTGAGGTCCGTTGTCTGATAGTAAGTGTTGAGGGTATCCCCATCTCGAGAATACTTCCTTTTCCAGTGTGCAGATCAAGGTCGGGGCTTCAGAATTTCCGAGGAGGAAAGCTTCCACCCAACGCGTGAACAGATCGATGACTACTAGAAGGAATCTTTTCCCATGACTGGTACGAGGATATGGTCCCATTAAATCCACAGCAAGGGTTTGCCATGCTATGCGAGGATTGTGAGGGCGTAGATTCGTTTCGCCAGTCGGTCTGGTGCTCTTGCAACAGGCGCACAAATGACATTGTTGTACGTATCGACGTACGTCTTGTTCTTGGCCTGGCCACGTGAAGTGTCTCTGTACTTCAGGTAGAGTTTCATCGCCACCTGGATGTCCGGCTAAGTTAGAGCCATAGCATTCGTAGATCACCCGCGTCCTTAATTGTTGTGGAACAATCAGTCTCCAAGGCAAGTTACTAATCTTGCGGACCCATAGGCCTCGTTTATCCAGGCGATGGTGTTCAAAGAAATGTTCTTCTTCGGGGTTTCGTTAGGTCTGCTGTTGCAGGCGGAGCCATTTTTCGGCTAATTGCTGAATGTTCGGATCTTCTTGTTGTGCAATTGTGATTACTTCGGCGAGAAGTACGGCTTGAAGTTGATTGATCGTCGGATGCTGATTTTCCTCCGGTCGTAGATTCTCTGGGGGTAACATTCGTTCCTCATCGGGGATGACAGATCCGGATTCTTCTTGTATTGGATTCCGTGAAAGTATATCCGGGAGTTCATTGTTTTTGCCGGAACAATGTTATATACGAAATGTTATATACGTCAATCCTTCATGGTTTATAACCATAGGAGGGCCTTGTTGTCGGTCCTCAAGATGAATGGGCGATCCTCCAGATAGGATCGATACTTTTTAATGGCCCAAATGATCGCCAAACACTCTTGTTCGTTGATGTGGTATCTTTTTTCCGTGGCATTGAATTTTGTGCTGCTATACGACACTATCCGTCTTTGTTGTGAGGGTTCCTCTTGATAGAGTACGGCTCCCATCCCTAACCCACTGGCGTCTGTTTGTAAGACGAAGGTCATGTCTGGATCGGGTCGACTCAATTTCAATGGTTGACTTAATGCCTTTTTGATATCTTGGAAAGCTTGCTGGCTCATCGGAGTCCATTTCCAAGAATGTTGCGACGACAGGAGATCGGTCAAAGGTATAGTAAGCGTTGCGTAATTTGGAACCTATTCGCGGAGCCATCCACACACTCCGAGAAACTGTCGTAGCTCTTTGCGGTTCCGGGGTGGAGCGATTTGTTGTATTGCTTGGACACTTTCCGGTCTGGCTTGATTGTTATCGGCAGTCACCACATGTCCAAGGTAGTCTAATTCCATTTTCCCAAAATGACATTTCTTTAGCGTGCATGTGAGATTGTAGATTTGGAGTCGTTCCAGGACCAAACCCAAATGTCTGAGGTGATCTTCCCACGTGTCCGAGTAGATAATTATGTCGTCGAGGTAAGCTAAGCAGAATTCTCGCCAATAGCCGGTGAGGACTTCTTGGCTCATAAGTTTTTGAAACGTGCAAGGCGCGTTTTTTAAACCAAACGGCATGACTCGAAATTGATATTGACCTCCGTCAGGAGTTGCAAAAGCCGTGTATGGTTTGGATTCTGGATCCATAGGAACTTGCCAATAGCCACTTTTTAAATCAAGAGTGGAGAAGATTTTGGCTCGTCCGAGATCTTTTAAGGCTTCATGTATTATCGGAAGTGGTTGTACGGCATCTCGAGTGATGGCATTCAATCTTCGATAGTCTATGCAGAACCGATTTCGTCCGTCTTTCTTCTTAACGATGACGATTGGAGAACAGTAATTCGAAGTCGTGGACTCTATTACTTCATCTGCAAGCATTTCCTGAATTTGCTGTTGAATGATTTTCTTCTTTTCATCGGAGTATCGATAGGGAGGTACTAGGAATGGTTGTTCCGAAGTCAAGTGTATCCGGTGTGAGATTCCTTGTGTTTGCCGCAATCTTTCTCCTTCCTGGAAGGTGACCGCATGTTCTTGCAGTAGTTCACGGAACCGATCGGCGTATTCAACGGGAAAATCGTGTTAGAGAGTGTCCCTGTGTATTTGCTTTTCTTCCGTCCTTGTCGCATGTTGGGGTTGTTGTAGAAACACTGGCTTGCGTTCCTTGAGACCATAATAAATACATTTATGGAAGTGATCATGTATAACTTGATTCTCATTTAACCATGATTCACTTAGAACGATATCCTCGTGTAAGTCATCAGTGATGTCATCACTAGTCATCACTAGGGACTTCGTTATTTTGAATCCTGATGTGAAGTGTGATCGGTCCTTTAAGATCAATTGTAGCTCCTCCGGAAGCTTGATAGGCTATCATGGTGGTTGTTGTTAGCGATTGTTGGTCTACCTCGCTCAGCAGATGTCCTTTGATTAAATTATGGGAAGAACCAGAATCGATGAGTGCGGCTACTCTTTGCGAACCAAGTGTGACTTCCAATCGTGGCAAACATTCGTTTTTGGTACTCGTGGAATTTACCGTGGCGGTGGTATCGGAACCTGACCTGAGTCGATTGGTTCTTCTTTGGCCACCGCCGCCAAACGGTTTCCCTGGTCGGGAGTCTTCCTTCTACTTATATAAGTTGGGCAGTCCCGATGGAAATGGTATTCTGGGCAGTACCAGCATTTTGGTGGCGATCTACCCAGAGGTTTCATCGTAGTGTTCCTTCCGCTTTCGATCTTCCCCGGGTCTATCGATTTCTTCATGTCCGTTTTGCGAGTTTTAGCCGAGTTCTCTACGAGGTCATCGTCTTCCATCTCTTCGGCCCAACTGATTAATTCGTCGAACGTTGTTGGGCGTGCTGCTCTAAGTAGCCTTTTAAGTTCGGGTTTTACTAGCGAAATTAAAAGATTGACTAGCTGTGGTTCAGTCCGGTCAGGAAACAGTCGACGTGCCAACCAGTATTTCTCTTGGAGAAAGATGCCTACCGGTTCTCGTCCGTCTTGTTTGCATGAATATAATTTCGCACTTAGATGAATAATCCGGTCGGATCCTACGAAACGACTGTGCATGCGTTGTTTGAATTGTTCCCAGGATATATTAGGAAATTTGAATAAGTTTCCCCAGCGACCAGCTTCACCTTTAAGGGCCTTTCCTGCGCTGCGTGTCCATTCTTGGGGGTCTAACCGTTTCTTGCGAAATCGTTCCTCACACTCCTGTAAGAATTGTGCAGGGTCCTCGTGATCAAGTCCCGAAAACTCTGGCATTGGTGAGGAGGTAGAGGATATGGCGTCTATTAAATTCCTCCAATCATCAAGCGAGAAGCTTGCGTTGGAAGTTTTGACAGGTGGCACAGGGACTGTCATCGGACGGGAATCCGTGGGACTCTCTATCAGTGTTGTTGCTGTGTCGCCGATAGAGGGCAATGGTTCCGAAACTACTCTCGGAGTTTGGGGTTTCCTCGGAGTTTCGTTTTCCGCTTCGGTGATAATTCTCCACAGGGATATCACGATAGGTGGATCCATGGGATGGATTTCTTGTTCCGGTTCAGGATTGTTGGGCGCCATTTGTACTCTTCGCTCCCGTGAAGGCGGTTGCGAATGCGATCGCCGTTGAGCTCGTGTGGTAGGCATGGTTCTCCTGGTTTGAGAATTCGTGGATGTCTTCTGAGATCCTGCTCGAAGGTTTTTCGAGTGGCCCCACGTTGGGCACCAAAATTGTTAACGCTCAATAATGTGGATGATTTAGTTAAGAAAAATTCTGAGCGAATTATTAGGCAGGCAAGGTTCTTTGTATTTTCTAACGGGTAACAAGAGTACATAACATTTGTATCAGGATGTCGCCGATTAGGGTACCTAATTGCATATTCTATTTTCTATGATAATGATTATTCTGAAACAGTAAATATTGAAGAGTACATAACATTTTTATCAGGATGTCGCCGATTAGGGTACCTAATTGCATATTCTTGTGCTGTTTGTGTTTGGTTGCCATTACATTGGGCTAACACCCAATACATGTCGCAATATTCTCTCACAGAATAATCACTCGTAATGCGATCTTGTAGTCAAAACAACATAAATCGAACTGACTGTCTCCACAATATGAAGCGAATTAGATTATAATTTGTAAACAATAATAAGTCTACTGCGGTCGAATGACTTGTTTAAAAATTACAACTTATTTCACTTCACATTGTGGACACAGTCAGTTCGCATTATGAGTAATTATTCTGTGAGAGAATATTACGACATGTATTGGCAATGTAATGGCAACCAAACACAAACAGCGCAAGAATATGCAATTAGGTACCCTAATCGGCGACATCCTGATAAAAATGTTATGTACTCTTCAATATTTACTGTTTCAGAATAATCATTATCATAGAAAATGTATGTAATTGTTGCAGATTAGCATATTCAGATCCAAGCTCGGTCATGCGTAGATCAAAATCGGTCCTTTTCAGGACCACTCAAAAGGTAATACGTTGCTACAACTATCTTGTCACATTAAAGGAATAGACATTATAAGGAATAAAGAGTATCTTCTGAAATTCACTGACGTTACAGCAAGCGATTCTATCTCACTCAATTACATGCAGATAAACAGGGGCACTACGACGATACTCTTAGTGTTATTGGCCGAGTGTAAGCAGGTCTTGCGGGCTGACTCGCGACGTCATCTACGCTCCGTTTAAACGCGCTCTGATTGGTCGCATTACTGCAACTTCAACTTTGATTATCTCGAAATTTTTATATATGAAATAAAAAATGAAAAAATAAGTATTCATTAGATTTTGACAAGGAATGCAACGATGTTACTACAGTGCGTTTCATAACGATCACCCTGTATAAGTTCCCATACAAACTTTAAGGCCCTTTTTCTCAGAATTGGCTGACCATTGATCTGTAGAACTTGAACATGGTATGAGGTTTTGTCAGTATTATAACCACACGAAGTCAGTATGAGTATGTGTGAGTACAAATAGACTGGACCATTGACATATAGTATGGGCTACGCATAGACATAGATAAAATGGTCGGCTGAAAGAAAAAGATAACGACTGGTGGCAGCCGAGCCCTATCTTTTTGTAACCAGCAGCCATAGTACGAAAGTATAGAGAACATAGGCAATGGGAACATTAGAAAAGGAGAGCGATCGGCCGCTACCTCATT